GTATGAATAATTTTAGCCAGTTCCTTTACACAGAACGGATTGAAAAAGTGTTATAATAAAATCCTTGTTTTGGCTTCAGTGATTTTTTTACCACAAGATTTACTGGTCAATGAAATCATAAAGGCACGAATAATGAAGATTACGAGAACTGATCTGCGGCAGTATAAAGTTAGTATAACATTGAGGACTGAACTGTTATGATAAAAATCAATTTTCAGCATAATATTTTTATATGTCGTATCTTTAAAAGTAGCTGTCTTCGCCATTGAATGCCAATGGATTATTATCGAGTAGAAGTATGGTAATCCATGCTAAACTTCTTTCTTTACGACAGTTGAACCCTTGCTACAGTGGGCGTCCGTTTTGCAGTTTGTGGAGCAGGATCCACTTACCCTTCCGGAGCACCTGAGATCACCCGCAGTATTTGGTGGGATTCGTGTTGCTTAGTCTTTTGATTTCTATGTTGTGTTTTGCGGACTGTTCTTTGTCTGTTGATTTTTTTTTAGCCATGGCGTTGTCATTTTATTTTCGACTTATAAGTTTGAATGTCCCTTTGGTATCGTTCGCCTTTCTTTTGTTATGTATAAATTCGTTACTACATCTCGTTGGAATCGGGACGATAAGTTCGATGCCTCGTGTAGGATGAGGTCAACGATCTTAGCAAGTTAAAGAACCATTGGAGCAACTCTATCTCTGAGGGATTCGTCTGTGCATGGTTTGTTGCATGGCACTGTCCCGACATGTATCCAGCGTACCTTTGTTTTTCAATGGCATTCCAAGTTTCAAGCCCTTCATCTAAGTCGTCTAACCTTGCATAACTTACCTATTGCATTTAATCATTTGTGATTTTTTCCCGTCCTGAAACATTTGCCACTGGAGATTAAGCATACAAAAAGCAATCAATCCATTCATCAACATTACTATGTACCACCGCCTCTGTGAGCTCGTAATATCGCTCAACCTCAAAGGCGAGAGGTCGTGGTTTCGATTGAGTAAAGAAAAGTAACGAGAACTTTTATTTCTGGGATTAAACTTTGGCGTATTAAATATTTTTTCGATACTTTTAACAAGGTTTCATTCTGAAGACCTGCTTTGTGAAGTACGATCTCGAAAATTCGAATTGAAATCTTTAGAGACGTCGATTTACCATGTATACGTTAAAATGCTGGAGAGAAACTTTCATAACGTTGTAAGCATGAATGAATGAAAAGTTTGGTTTGTCAGTATGTGAGCTTCTTTGTCTTCCTTTTAAAGAATTCAATTGGGTTAAACTTGAAATAAACAAGAAATATTATCAAGGTCACAACTTTGTCTGACAATAACATATAATTCACATACTACACCCAAACAGTTGATCAATACACATATTTAGTGAACTCTGTTTGATCTCAATGAAGGGTTTACCGTTGTATATATAGTATAAAGATACGAAAAGAAGAAGGAAACATTAAATAAATGAATAAAACTTTCCTATTTAAAGATTTATTTCTGAAATAAATGGTTTTAGTCACCTTTTGGAAAAAGGGATATCTGGGTTCTGTTCTTGTTTAAGTAACACAGGGCGTGATAGTAGAGTGACACGTGGGAGGGAGACGATGTTGTTTCCTGTTTATTTGCTCACGTTTCAAATAATCTCACCACGTAACATAAATCATCTGAAAATCTGTCACAAACAACTTTGTATACGAACCTTAGAACAATCATGATTTTTATGTAAACAATTGCTACAGAATGATAATAAAAATAACAACAAAAACGAAGAGCAATAATGATGATAATTATAATAATGAGGTAAGGGATTCGGCCTCCATTCTGTCTAGAAGACTATTTTCATATTACCGACTTTTGACTCCGGATTATATAATTTTTCGACAGGTAACTTTTTCTGCGGTAGGACATCCTGGTACCAAGTCATGTAAGAGCAAGGCAAAGAAGTAAAACCAAGCTTTCAATCGGTACAATTTTGGGGGGAAATTAACTACTTTACATTTTCTTTACACGAAATCATTGGAAAACAGTAAACTTCCCCCTCAAAATACACCGATTATATGTTTGATTTTATTTATTTTGGTCGCTCTTACTGGACCGAGTACCAGGATGTCCAACCACAGAAAAGGTAACCTGTTGAAAAATTACATAATCCGGAGTCAAAAGTTGGTAATATGAAAATAGTCTAATAAGGCCTTTTTTTCTATTCTCATGTTTTGTGCATTCATTATCTTAATATTTACTCAACAATTAAAAAACAAAAAAATGACTTAATCATTTTTTTGGCAGATCTCACTACTATTTACAATAAAAAAAAAAGGTTAACTGCTGCTATGTAAATAGTTGTTAGAAGTGTCCTTAACTTGTAGAGAGCGTGACACTCTCTCTACTCTCTCTACTTCGGATGCAATGTCCGCCATACGGACCGAGCTGACGGTTTGCGTATTTATACATCCCGCACAACCAAACGGGCGCCCCAAACTGGCAAATGTTTTAAACCCTGTCTGAAGAGGATCAACAGTGAAACCTTCTATCCCTCAGTGATCCTTTGAGCGGGGGTAGAGTTTTTGTCTTTTTAATTCCAACAAGAAAAATCACAGGCAATTGTTTCTTAAAATATATGCCCTAATATAACTACATGTGTTATATTAAGGTTTATATGTATTTTTTTTCAAGGACAAATGCTTGTGATAAAGTCAGAAATGACGTCAGTGTATAAATTCTTTTACCATACCTTAAAGTTTTTTGCGATACGTACGATGATTCGGTGTTGATGGTAAATCTTTGATTGTCTATTTAATTTTCTAATAACTAGGTGCGGATCCAGCCAAATATAAAAGGGGCTGGGTTCCAACACAACACATCACTACAAACCAGTAAAAGTCTGAAATGGCCTATATCTGTACTCGACTGTACTGATTTTTACTCGACCAGTCTGAATTGGTCTGAATTTTACTCGACATTACTCGACCCCAGTCTTAACCATACTCGACCGTACTGATTTGTACTTGACCCTTATCTTTGCCATTGAAAATAGTCTGAACTATTACTCGACCAGTCTGAAACAGTCTTAACCCATTCTCGACCTGTACTCGACCAATTTTTTCAGTCTAAACCATACTCGACCAAAGGTCTGAACAATACTCGACCAGTCTGAACCATACTTGACCAAAAAACCTATATTTTTTTTTTAATTTTAGTTGTTAAAATTAATTTCTTTTTTTCTGACATGACAACAGCCACAATAAAATAAAGATATATATAAAAATATATTTTTACATCCTTACATGATTCTCAGATTTATCAAACAGAGATAGTTAAATTAACTTTTTTTATATAATAATTTAATTATATTAATTTTAAAGTTTTAGAGTTTTGTTAAAAAAAGATTTTCTTTTAACTAAAAAAAACACCTTTACTGAGGGTAATTAAACCTTATTAAGGTGCTTTTTAAACTTAATTTTCCTAAATTCCTAAAGAAAAAACTATATAGGTTTCATGGTTACATACAATAGTTATATAATTATCTTTTTAATGAGGTAACAACAGCCAAAAAATCACTGAAATTGTTTAACCTTATATTAGAAATATATCTATTCTTATTATAATTTGGGATATATTATATATAATATATATCAAAAGGGGATAAAAATATTAAAGAAATAGATAAAATTTTTCTTCTGATTAGTGGTAAAGTAAAAAGTAATACCTCCTGCTTGGGGCAAACTCATTAAAAAGATCACACCTGGTCAGAGAGTATTAATTTCTAATTAACATTCATTAAAAATTGCAACATCCTGTAAAACTTAAATCGCAAGGCCTTTTGAATTCACTAGATAAGTAATACACGAGTTTAAGAAAAAAGGGCTTTCTTTTTACCTGTAAAACACACATGTACTGAGGTAAATAAACCTTATTGAAGTGCTTCTTGTATGCCATGTCTTTAATTTTGTCAAAAGTTATTTAAATTTAATTGAAATAAATTTTTTCTGCAACTTTGGAACACATTTCCTTTTTTAAATGGTTATCAAGGATTGCTATGGAAGTTCTATTATCATGATTATATTAAATTCTTGGTTTTACAAAACAAAGGTGTTATTTTTAAAATTTATTAAGTTGCTTTATATACTATTTTAAATATATTTTGATAAAAAAAATGTTCACTGCATTATTAACTTAACTCAACTGACACCATAAATCTATACAAGGCTTAAGTAAATGGTGAAAATTGTCCAGTAACCATAAAATATATCTGAAACATTAAAAAAATTTGAATAACATAGAAAATATTAGTCACAATTCAGTTTTGAGATTATTTGATCAGTTTGTTTTATTTTTATTTTAAAGGTGATATATATATATGTAAGTGTTGATAAACATGGTGTTGAATTTATACTATGTTTATTGTGAAATTTTGGTTTCAATGCCATATTGAATACATTTTTAATTTCAAATTGTTGTTCAAATTTCTAGCCAGGGGAAATAGCTGTTAAAACAGTTCCTAAATTGATGAAATACAATAGATAGATAGAAACAAAAATTAGGTCTAGGTTGGTTAAGACTTGGTCGAGTATGGTTCAGACTAGGTCGAGTATGGTTCAGACTAGGTCGAGTATGGTTCAGACTAGGTCGAGCATGGTTCAGATTAGGTCGAGCATGGGTCAGACGAAAATAAAATGGGTAAGTACTGGTCGAGTACAAGTTCAGACTGTTAAGTATGGTTCAGACTACAGTCGAGTATTATCAAGTAAATTTCAGACCAATTCAGACTGGTCGAGTAAAAATCAGTACAGTCGAGTACAAATATAGGCCATTTCAGACTTTTACTGGTTTGTAGTGCATGCAAGTCATATATAAAAAGGGGACTCCAACCACATGTCCCTACACGTGACAAAAGCGTTAGTTGTCAAACAAAAGGCAGGTTCCATCCCCCGGAACACCCCCTTGATCCGCCACTGCTGTTTCAGATTTGGGAATGTATAGATGTTAAAGAGTAAATATTGTACGTTCGTTTTAGTGTTGCATTTTTTGGTTAATAGTTTTATCAAATCATTTTTGGTGGCAAAGACTGATTATACTATACAACAATTTTTTTTAATCTACTTTATCGAGGAACATAAGCTGGAACTCATACACTTGAAGGTAACCTTATTCTTGATCTTATTTGCTAAACTTTTTAACGATATATTTATTTTATAATTATATCACCATATTTTTGTAAATAAATTTATTAGTCAGACATTTGACCTAGATTTGATAGTTTACGCTGATGTAATTGTAAACATCAGTTATATAATCAAAATCCAGAAATATTGATAGAATACATATAAACAAATGAATAAAAGTCGAATAAGTCAATGACAGTAACCCAACTCCAATACAGTTTATATTTTTATAAATGCTACTGTTACAATAGGAATCACCCTTCATATTTTACGCGTCAGGTGGCGTTGTTGTTCCATAGGTGGTTAATCGGGCGTTTTAAACGCGTCAGACGCTTGAAACCAACGTAAACAAACAATGACACCAAGACATGAACATATATTTTAAGAACTTTCAAGCGTTGTAAAACCATAAAATGCCCCAAAGATGTTGTGTGCCTGGGTGTAAGGCTTCTGGGGGACATCGGTTTCCGAATGATCCGACAATGAGGATGAAATGGAGGGTTGCAATCAGGAGAACTGACGGTAAAACAAAGAAGTTGTGGAATCCTGGTCAACATGACGTGGTTTGCTATGACCATTTTCTTGCCACTGATTACCGAAGAACATTGTCAGGTTAGTTATACTAGATAAAGGATTGATATGACAGTAGTTTTTTTTGTATGAAATTTATAAACTTTTATTTTGTTACAAATTTTCAAAGTGTGTGATCTTTGACTTATAGTTATAGTATTGTCTATTGACATTGGTTTTTAATTTATATTTAATATTTTGTGCAATTTTTTTTATACAATGTGTACCCATCTTAGTGTTTTAGGTACTTTCCTTTAATTTATTATGTGTGTGTGTGGGTTTTTTGTGGCCTCTATATTATTAATATATCATATATTAATATAATACTATGAAAAATGTTTCAGTATGTACATTTTTTTTTTAAATGACTGATCGAAGGCAAAGTTTGATGTTTTCTGTAAACTTGTGCTCTATCATTAAGTGTAAAATAGGTTTGTTTCTTGGTTAAAAATCGAGAAAAGAAACTGAAATCAACTATGATTAAAAAATTCTTGTTATAAACATTCACAAATGGTAGTTTAATTTTTTGTCAAGCAGATACAAAAAATTCATAAGCAAAATAAATCATGTCTATCACAAAAAATGAAAGGATGTTTATTTCTTTTGATACAGCTTCATACTAGGTTTTCTTTTATACTTCACTCTAAGTCATTGTTTATTGTAAAACATCATACATGTTTATTTTGCACCTGAAACTGAATATCAAAATACAAATGAATACATGTACAAATGTATGTAATATTGTATTAATATTTCTTTTACCTTTTCATATTAATAAGAAGTGATGTTTTTATAAATATTGTTTGATAGTATAAAAAACACTGAAAATGGGTACACTTAAATATGTTTTTGTTTGCATGTTGCTTTGTGTTTTTTGTTTTCTTTCCCTAGGATAACCAAGAGGCAATGAAATCAACAGATCAAGGCTTCTAAAGAAAAATCTTATGAGCTGTTGGGAAGTTTATTTTTATTAGCTTTGTTTACTTCTATTTTAATCCTTAAATTTGAAAATTAATGATATATACAGTAACTGTACATGTAAAAATGTACTATCCATCTTCAATACAGCAAATCAACAACACAAGTAACCCAACACATCTAGTTGTCAACATACATACATGTACATACTGCTGTTTAACAATATACAATGCAAGTGTCTATACAATATCTGTATAATACAAGTATTTCAAGCTCAAAATTACCATGCAAAAAAAATGTAACGAAATATAAAATAAGCATAAGAGAAACTAAAAAAAAAAAATGCCATCTTCACATATTTCATCAAATATCTATAGTTGTTATATTCCATGTCATTTGGTCACTTGTACAGAGTTGTCTCATAGGCAATCATACCACATCTTCTTATTTTTATATAAACTTACACAAGCTCAAAGTACTTTTTAAATGTGTTGTTTCACAACTGCATTAACTCAAACCTGTAGCTTTAAAATGTAAAGAAAATGGATATGATGTTATTAAACAAATTCATTGTTTTTTTTTATGCAGGTGATCGCTGCAGACTTACAGAAAATGCTATTCCTTCTGTGTTCGAATTTAAGATGAAGACATGTTCTGAAGAGTCTCCAAGAGCAAAAAGATTTAAAAGTAGATCTGATACTTCATCAGCAACACCACACTTAATTAATGATGATTCTTTAGAGATCCAATATGAAACTGAAATTGAAACTACAAAAGAAGCTCAGGAGCCAGTTAAATTCAATCTTAATGAATCCTCACAGCAAAACCAAAGTATCCAAAGTGACATTCCATCATTTGGTAAATTTTCAATAGAATCGTTCAAAGAAGATAACAAAATTATCAACTATTACATTGGTTTTCAAAATTTTGACCATTACATGATGTTTTTTCATTGTCTTGGACCAAGTGCATTTAAACTTGATTTTAGGTGTAATTTACTCGATCCTATTGATCAACTTTTTATGACTTTAATCAAACTTAGACAAAACAAAGAGGATATTGAATTGTCAATGCTTTTTAAAGTATCACAATCCACAGTTTCTAGGATCATCATCACTTGGATTAATTACCTGTATTTTCAGCTTAAAGAAATTAACATTTGGCCTTCTAAAGAAATAATAAAAGAAACCATGCCTAGTGATTTCTCTAAAAAATTTCCCAAAACCAGAGTGATAATGGATGCTACAGAAATACCAATTGAAAGACCATCAAATGTAGAGTCACAGAGTGCAACTTGGTCAAATTACAAACACAAAAACACGCTAAAGACCATGATTGGATGCAGTCCACGAGGAGCTATAACTTTTATATCTGATTCATATGGCGGTTCTGCATCTGACAGACAAATAATTGAGAAGTCTAATTTACTTGACCCTGCATCGAAATCTTTTGAAAAAGGTGATGCCATTATGGCAGATAGGGGTATACTTGTACAGGATCTATTTGCAAATCAAGGGGTTCAAGTTAATATACCAAATTTCCTGAAAGGTAAATCCCAGTTGGATCCAGCTGAAGTTCTTCATGACCGAAGGGTAGCTTCAAAGCGTATACACATAGAGAGAGTTATAGGTTTAACAAAAAGTTTTAAAATATTAAAACATGGTATTTGTAAGTCAAAGCTGCAATTGGGTTCAAGAATAGTTTTTGTTTGTTTTGCAATTTCAAATTTCAGGAAGAATATTGTACATGGAAATGCTTGATGTTTTAAAAACACAATGTGACTTTATACATTTATTTCCCGTGCATCAGGGAGATATGAAGGTTTGTTCACTCAAGAATATTTATATCTCACGAGGGCTTTGCCCGAGAGAAATATGATTTTTCAAGGAGGGAACAAATCCTCATATCACCCGAATCCAAGGGAAATAAATGTTTTATTCCACTGCCTATGCTTTGTTTACTACATGTACATAAAATATTAGTTTGTATACATTTTTATTCCTTATCTGCTAAACAACACATATGCATTGATAAGGTCAAAAAAATAATATGTGTGTTTTCTACTACATCTTTGAAAAAAATTTGGTAAGAAGGTATGGATTTTTTTTTTATTTTATCCTTTTTTTTACATTCAGTCTATGGGAGAGACATTCTGACTTTAAAAGTGCTTATTGAAAATGACAAAAAAACTTTAGGGTAGGCTATTTTTGAGCTTAAAAAATAAGGAGGGTAGGGTAATGGGAAACACACGTCTTTTTTTATTTGTCCTAAACAGTCCGGATCAAAAGTTAATTATTAGTGTATTTGCTTTAGTGTCTGAAATAAATACAAACACGCTAATGATTTTTCCTATAGCTTTTTAACAAAAAAAGTTCAAATCGTTATGTCACACTATGTAGTCCTAACATTTCAGAGGGGAATATGAAGATTTGTTTAATGACGTGTGGGATAGTCTCAACCAATCAAATATTGAACTAACGTGTAAGCTGTTATATACAATTATAGCCTTTGTATGAGGTCGATACAAGGATATATTGACCTGAAAGAAATATATTGACTGAGGACAAAATCCGAGGTTGATATACTTATTTGGGATGATATATCCTGTATTGACCTCATACATGGGCTATAATTGTTATATTATTAATTTCCTACCAAATTTGTATCAAAATTGTCATTTGATTTTGTTGGAATTTTATAGATATCATATTGTCTCCTAGGCAATAACAACATATCAGATGTTATTTCATTTATTTTTATGTTTGTTTTTTTTTACATCGTATGTATAAATTGAAGATTTTTTTTCTTCAAATACTCGATCATAGATATTTTTTTATAAAATTTAAACAATATCATGAAATTCATTACATGACGTCACAAAGTATATCGGTTTTAGAGTATTCTAAAAATAACCGTGCAATATGTTTTTTGCTATGCAATATGCTTTTTGCTATCCGCCGTTTTCTACCTAGCTTCGAAAATATAGTTTAACATGTGACTATCCCTAAATGAATCAAATTAGTTAAAATATACGAATTAATAATATCAATATGTTTAAGCAGTGGAATAAAAGGATCTTCTTTTTATTGTACTATAAATTCTAATCATAAAATATGGTAATCTGAAAGGTAACCTTCTTCTGTACAAGAAGATGTGGTATGATTATGAATGAGACAATATCGACCAGAGACTAAATATCACATAAAGGCCTTCAAAATGAGAAAAACACATACCATAAAGTAAATAATATAACTATATTATAAAAAGCCCAACTTACAGGAGGTAAAATTATTCAAACAACTCAATACTGGTATATTTATCACTAAAGAAAAATTTATTATGATTTTTTTAATTGGCATCACTTTATTTGGTTTTAATAAATGAAAATTGTAAAGTTAAGTGTTTGAGATTCTAGCATGCAAAAATTAGTATTTACTGGTTACAAATATTGCGTGTTATAATAATTATCTTGCATCTCAAAACTGTTTAATACATACATATATATGTACTAAATAAATTGGATTATCAAATTAAAGAATTAGCTCTTCAATAATATAAGTAAATAATTTATTTCTTCTTTCATTATAAAGAGATATTTTGCTTGCTTCAGTAAGTCATTCTTAACCTTAAAAGTATAATGGGATAACAGTTCAATCAATTGAATTAAAAGAGTTATCTGTCCCTTTTTGAGAGATTTTTTTATCATTCCTGGTTGATTGTATAGGTAGATTTAACTTTAGATAAAGATATAAACCAGCATATTACAAAAAAACTTCAAAGAGATTTGTTAAAGGGGCATTTAATTTTCAAATCAAATCAATATATTAGAAAAATAATTTTATACATGTATCAAATTACAAATAAAATGACATTCCAAATTGAATAACTACTAGTTGTAATCAGTGAATATGTATTGATAAAATATTTATTTGTTTTAATTGTATTTCGTATGATTTTTACTACAAATTTACAATGTTGAAGCAACATATGGTCTGAAAACTCTTTGGTAAAATGACTCCAGTTTTGGAACAAGACAGTTATTACAATACTCCTCATTAAGGCTGATTTTTTGTACAAACAAATCACATAAGGTATAAACAACAAAGTAACATAGAGATCTTTTGGTGACAAAAAGCTGCCCTTGAATTTGATCATAATAATTACTGCTCTCTTTCAAAACAATATTGCCATTACTATCCATCTGTAAAAAATTGAAACTTGGACCAGGCTTAACATCTTCATTTCTTCCATTGTAGGGGCATTTAATTTCGACAATTGCTTTACCATCCTCTAAAATGGCATCAGGTGAAGCACCAAGGAAAGATTTATCAATACTGACATAAAAACCACATCTTTTAGCATTCACATTAAATTTTAAATTAAAAGCCTTCAATGCTTTAGCTTCATAGTTTTTGCCATGACTAAGTGCTTTGCTCTGAATATTTGAGCCATAAAAAAGTGAATGACAAAATTTGTTAGTGTTCCGTCTTGAAGTGACTTTACAAATCTCGCCGAAGGTAGATGCTGTGAGTCTCCATCTTCTTTCTTCTAACCACTTGGGACTGCAACTTTGTAGGCGGGAAGACCTCTCAATCAAATCTATATCTGATTGTGTAACCTATATGAAAACATAATATCATTCTGATTGATTGATTCTAATATCATGATCCTGTAAATTAAAAGAAGAAAAACTTTGAATAATTTAATTTAGTCCACTCCTTTTTGAAAATAATTGTTTATCCATGATTCCATATCTTTATCAAATTAAGGTAGCACTACAGTCTAACAATGATTTTTTGAAGATATTTTTTTTATCACATAATTTTGAATTAAGTATTATTCTGCACAGTTTGTAAAAATCCCAAAGTCATTATCATATCACAACAGGGAGTAAATTGATAATGAACTTATGTAAATGAAAGCACATGGTAATTAATCTAAATATATAGGCATTTGGGAGGGGCTAATATGTCAATCATCAGTTGATACTAGTGTCCAGCTGTTAATCCCTGACCACAAGATAAATATTGTGGTCTTATCTCATTGTATTGCAACAAAGGTAATTTATGTAACATGTTTATAAACAGAGAAAAAGAAATGAAAAGGAAAAAATCTAAAAGGAAGAAATCTACAAAAAATGAAAAAAAAATATGGAAAAGAGTGTGAAAGTATCTTTGAAAGCCTCTGACTGCCTGTATAAATTTCTTCTATTTGGTCTTCTACATTTAAATACAGTTTTTAGGCATTTTAACCGATTTTAAGTTTATGTGAAATTTTTCAATTCCATAAAACTCAAAAATCATGTGGGAGTGTCTTTTTTTAAAGAAGTGGATGGTCTTGGATCTTTTTATGAACATGTCTTTTGATGCACAATTTTAATGTTCTAGCTAATTTCAGTAATAGTATATTTCTTTTTAAAATACAAATGAAAATTATTCTTTATAGTGAGAATAATGATGTTAAATATTGATTACATGCAGCTGGTCAATCCTGTTATTCTCTTAGCTTAGACTGTCTGGACAGAGGCGAAGCTTTGTCTATTTTTAATTACTACATCACAGATATTGGTCAAATCTGTGACGTCAAACTCCCGCCAAATGCCAAGTTAGTGTTGCACAGTGCCACACATAATGCAAAATTTACAGCATTAGAGCATCAAAGAGACAAAGTGTGTGGTTCTATTGATAAAGTAATGGTGTCAGAATACTCCTGGGGTGTTCCCAGTGGATTTTTTTTTATTTATGTTGCATTTATAGGGGTTCTAAGGGGGAAATTCCATTTTAGGGTCATTTCTCAGAACAATTTTTCATGAGATTTGTGAGGTAAAACTAAAAATATAAACTTTATGGGTACCCCCTTTGGTTTGACTTTGATATATGTGATTAAAGGTAGTATTTTCTACAATACCGTGTCCCAGTTTTTGGATAATTTGTTTCTAAATGAATTTATAGGTCTCCAAAGATGAAAGGTGAAATGAGGTTTGGCACCCAGCAGTTAAATCAATATATCTTCTTACTGGAGGCATATATCAAAAATCTGAGACAAGGTTTTGCAGCTTGTATATGGTTGATTAAAGGGATGAAAACAAATTTTTACTACCATTTGACCTGAATGTGCCATTTCCATCCAAGTTGGAAGACCACTTTTTTGGCAATTGATGAGCTATATTTTGAGATTTATCATACCAAAAATAAATTTATCTTTGGATTCAGAAAGAGTAATATTTCAGCTTTAAAATGAGTTAAAGATTTTAAAAATCCATTGAGTGGTTTTGGAGTAATTAATCTTTAAAGACTGTTGGTTGGAGTCAGAAAATTCTGACTGTAGTGCTACCTTAAGACTTTAATCATTACCAAAGTAAAAATATCTAAAGCATTTTGAAGAACATAATAGGAAAGCTCAATGACAATATTAAAAACCCTCTCTTATTTTGTCGTGTTAAGCATTAGGTAAATTTATACAACAGATTAATGATTGATGAACTTCATGCATCCTTATGTCATTTTTCCTGGGTAACTTGCATTTACATTTTTAGTATATTTCTAGGACAAAGGGGGATAACTCAATTTTTTACCAAACTGTGATCCAAATTTATTGAACCAGTTTTTAATACCTTATTTGCTCTATCAACCGAATGCTCAGTAAAAGGCATGGGACAATAATCATGATCTTTGGCTGCTGCCTGAAAATAAATATAAAACAATGAAGTGATTTATGATATTAATGGAAGAAATGAATATTTATGAATTTATTTAATGTTGTTATGACTCATGAGGGTCAGTGTTTATGATATACATAGATTAATGAATTTACCAATATAGATATATATATATAATATATAATATGTTATTTTAATTGTATTGTTTATTCTGTTAAACTGTTTATGTTGATATATTTATACAATTATAATAAACAGTCACACTTACCTGAATATCAGCTTTTTCATACAAGTATCTAATTGATAAGTCCATTGATGATACACTGCAGAAGTTTGTTACAGTGTTTTTGATGTGGTCATTGTAACCTGGGCAGTTTCTGTATTTAATTGGTCTAGGATCAGCAAGATAAACTGGTGCCAGCTTTCTCTTAGTTGGCAACTTTTCTGCTTTCACTGGAGACCCTTAAAAGAACAGAAGTAAACTGCAAAGATGCATTTTACTATGCAACAAAAAATCTGGAAGTTACTTTTTATCTAGTTAATTGGTAGCATTTGTTATACAGTTTTTTTGTCTCGCCTTGGAGATTATTTGGCCCCGCCCCATCAGTCAAGGGCTATAGACTTTGAAACTTTTCATAGTTAACATGTATTAGTTTGTGATTAGGTCAATTTATGGGGAGGAACCACTAGTGGTAGGTCAATGATATTTGGTATGCAGTTGTATAAGCATTAGCATATTCATTTTTCATGGAGATTATTTGGCTCCGCCCCCTTAGTCATGGTCTATAGACTTTGAAAATTTTGCTAAGTTAACATGTTTTAGTTTGTGATTAGGTCAGTTCAAGGGGAACCATTAGTGGTAGGCCAATGTTAATTGGTGTTCAGTTGTATAAGCATTAGCACATCTCATTTCCATGGAGAATATTTGGCCCCGCCCCCTCAGTCATGGTCTATTTACTTTGAAACTTTTGCTTAGTTTACATGTATTAGTTTGTGATTAGATCAGTTTAAGATGAACTGCTAATGTTGAGTCAATGATATTTGGTACACAAATTTATTGGCATTTGCAAGTATCGTTTCCATGGAGATTATATAGCCCAACCCCTGATCATGGTTCATTGACTTTGAAACTTTAACATAGTTTACAAGTTAATGTTTGTGTTTAGGTTTGTTTAAGAACGACTTATAATAAGTCAATGGTATTTGGTATGCAGTTGTATTAGCATTGGCACATCTCATTCCATGGAGATTGTTTAGCCATGTACCTTCAGTCATGGTTCATCGACTTTGAATATTTGTATAACTTACATGTTAAAGTATTGCTATTTTAATTTCAACATTTGCATTATCAAAATTACAAAAAGGCGAGACATATCTCTGTGATAACAGTTTATTTTACCCAAACTATGAATACAGATTCATGTTGTGGTCCAGTTTGTAGTAACTGATGCTGATGTGTCAATGCATCTTGGTAAATACATTGTTGTCAGATGGTTGTCGTTTGTTGGTGTGGTTCATAGGTGTTACTTTTTTTATATAGATTATTAGACTGTTGGTTTTCCAGTTTGAAGAGTTTTACAATAGCCATTTTTGTGGCCATTTATAGCTTGCTGTTCCATGTGAGTCAAGACTCCATGTTGAAGACTTGTCTTTTGACCTATAATTATTAACTTTTATACATTGTGACCTGGATGGAGAATTGTCTCATTGACCATGTTGACACTCATACCACATCTTCTTATTTATACTGCAGATCTTAATTGGTCCTGAAGTAAGCTAGACCAAGGGAAATTATGTCAATCTAACCTACATTTCACAATTGAGTATCTGTGATGAAGTTCTGCTCAATACTTTATTCTACAGCATAAACTAAAGATGATATTTTTATAACACATGGTACAATGCTAGATCTGGTTCAGAGATTGTTAAGGTGTATTACCAATGTGGAAAAAGTTATAAAGTATGTAATTGAAATTTATAAAAGGGTAAGTTTTGGCAAATTTCTGGTGATTAATGAGATTTTTGCTTAAACTGTTTCGTCCCTGCCAAGGGTACTCGTCAGGTGGCTTTAGGCTACCACTACAGTTTTGCACTATGAAAATCACAAAAATTACATACCACTATATGATGATTTTGGCTTGGTAAACATCATTAAAGTGTCAGTACACGACCTTCCTGTATTTACATTGCCAGTTGCTATGAACTCACTAATCATTATTAGCACTGCTGCCACATGCTTGCAGGATCCATGTGGTCCCCTTCCAGCCGGACATTCACAATGTGAGTTCAGTGGATCACCAGAGCTCTTTTCAAGTTTCAACCTGTAGTTGTAAGTTACCTGAATACAAAATAAATTGTAAATTTGAAGGTAATAGAAACAGAAGCAATGAAATTTCATGTGTGATCTTTTGAAGTGAAGCTGACATTTAAAAAATAATGAATAACTAAAATGTAAAAATAAATGTATCTTTCAAAACTAATAATAAGTGAAGATTCATGATTACTAAATATTTCTCCACTAAGATAAAGATTAAGAGCAGAAAGTGTAATGATACCTTTTTCTTCATAGCTGCTCCTACCACACCACTAAGAAATATCCCATTATCATTTTTTAAAATAGAACACGCTAAAACTCTATGGCTTTCAAACATCAGTTGACCCTTTGTCATAGATTGCAGGTCACCACTATACACATTGTCCTCTAAAAGATAAAAATTATATTAATCAATTATAGGTATGTGTTGCTAGTCCCTAGTTTTCTATGTGAAGTTTTGTTATTGATGTTTATCCTTTTCTTTTTTTTTTAATTTATTTTTGTCCGTGGTATTTTTTTTTTACTTAAATGTATAACTTAAGAGTGTCCCTTTTGTGTCTTCCTTCTCTTTTAAATATTTAAATGTGAAGGTATAACAGTTATAATAATTAAGAAGCAAAAAGATTTTATAGGTACAAAAAAACACAGTTATTATAAATCAAGCATGAAGATCATAAATAAACAGGGTTAACAACATGTACTTACCTGCCATCCTATACAAGAAATAAGCCTCTATTTGCTCTCTTGATAATTTCGGCATGATGAGCTTGTGCTCCTTCTTCAACTGTTTAAACCCTGAAACAGGCCATTCTACCTCCAATGGCTCTGGAGCATGGATAACAGGATTTTTGAAATTCTGATTTTTATCATATGCTCTTAGTCTACAAAAGAAAATAAAAAATGTGTTTTTTGCAAATGAATTAAAAAAAAAAATAGAATGAAGTGTTCTCAAGTATACAATTACAAAATGATATTTGAGTATTCTAAAATTACATTTATTGAATTAAAATGTACAAGGCATTGGATAGTAATGTCTCATGGCATTAGCAATCATATCACATCTCCTTATTTTTGTTTAAAATGAATGTTTAAAAAGTATATAATGATGTGAAGTATTCGAGGAAATAAAAACAGTAAGTATAAATAAAGAATATGTTTGAGAAACATATTTTGGAAGAAACACATACATGTACATGTAGCTGGTGCTTATTCTCTACCAAATATATACAGGGAGCATAAATACTCACTGTAATTTTTATGACTGAGGGGACTGGATATTTGTTTGCAATTCTTTCCATGGCCAAAAATATGTATCGCCTATCACCTACCCAATTTTGCTATATATATATCCTATAAAAATCTTTTTTTTGCAGTACAATATTATGTTGAAGCTTATCTCCTTCACTGGCTTCAGAGCATTAACCAACACATATAGATCTATCACTTATCTTCTTTTTTTCTAGTGTATTTGTATTGTTCAGTCATTGGCTACTATTGATATGTACAAATATAATATTTTTTAGGTTTTATTAGATGGAAAAATATATAGCAACAAAAACATCATCAGTAAATAAAAACGTTTCTCAGCAATAACATAATCAAATACACAAACGAACCTGTGAAAATACTTTTTCTTTTGGTACCAAGTTGAATAATATTCGACAAGAAATTGCTTTAAAATATATCTTTGAAAAAACGTGATGTGGCATCATGTATGCATGTACATCATACTACATGTAATGGAAACCGGCAGACTTTAGCAGGGTATAAGGATCAATAAGATTCATTAAAAATACACATTATATTTAAAAACCTTTCAATAAGGTCTGCCTTTCTTCCTGTTCCAACTGCACCACGACTTGCCAGCTCATTCTTTAACTTTTTAAGAGGCCAGTACAAGTACTGGTCGTTGACGTCCATTTGTTTATCTAAGCGGTAAGCGTTTCCGTGAAATCAAGCGTCCAACTAACCACCTGTAGAACCGCAGCGCCGCCTCTCGTGAAAAGTCGTGAATGATTCCTTAGAGTTGACAGACTTTTTCTGTAAGAAAAAAATAAATCGAAAAATGAAAATGATTCAAAGTGAATAAATGTCTAGTTTATTTCTCTTTTAACAAAATTGTTATTGAATATGAAAATAAAACGTATGACATGTGTGGCATACGTCTTCAAAAGAGAAAAATTACGACACACATGCACTACATATCGAGGTCATAATTAATACATGTATGAGGGTGTGGATAGGGTTGACAGGATAGAGAATAATGGTAAAAAAAATATAAAGAATAGAGAAAAATGGACCAAACAAATAAAGAATAGAGAGTAATGGGGTGTTACAATATGAAAATAGAGAATAATGGGGAAAAAGTATAAAGAATAAAGAAAAATCACCTTCATTACCCGTAATAACTTAGAACAGAAGAGAAGTTATCTGCTTTCATGATTTCATATTCTAGTTTCAATCTTATTTGATTGCAATATCGAAAACTGCTTCAAACTTTAAGAGGAAAGAAAAAGGCAATGCATACATTTACACATTTACAATGAAAACAAAAGGGAGAGGAGTAGTTCTCAGATATCAAACTATATGCATTTACAATCCAGATGCGCTCCATGAAGTTGTGTGAATAAATGCAAGCTAACCTGAACTAAATTACCAGTAGATAGTATTAACGCTGAAAAATAATTCGATTTTATTGGTGACTCCATAGGCGCAGTTGAGTTCACAACAGGGTTTTAGGGATCTCGTATTGTTCAATCTTTAGTTTTCTGTGCAATTTTTTGTAATTGTTATATATATCTTTTCGTCGTTTTCTTTGTTTGCTTGGTTTTGTCTATTTTAGTTGGACATATGATTTTTTATTTTGTCTCTTTGGTATGTACCCCGTACATCCGAAGGACGATCTTGTTTAAAAAATTTAATGAGTAAGACACGTGGTATATATAATTTGTAATATAAAAAAAAATGATTGACAGCTTGAACTCATATTCGATACTGAGTGTGATATGAATAAGTGATATGAACATGCCTTAATTTGGTTGGTCTTTATATATCCTGCAATGCGTTACGGAAATTGCGATAACTCCATTGGCTATTCGTCAGGTCAATGGCAACTTTCAAAGGTCACATTTCAGCTTTGGCAACAGAAATTCATGATTTCTTAAAAATTATGCAAATTATTCAAAAAAAGTTTTTGTTTTCATTCGGAAGCGTACAAACATAGCATTTTACCCGTGATATATAACTCGAAAATATTCAATAACCCTATGACAACATGTTAAAGCGTGAAATTTGCTCGACTCAATTGTGATCGAAAACCCACATAAAATATTTGCTTACCTACTGCGCATGCGTAGTTTTCCATGTAATATTTTATTAGGCCCTATGTTTATTAAGTAGTTTATATAAAGCGCCTGCACATATTTGAAATGAATAATTAAATATCTAGGAAGACGTAGATTACCCCCCAAAAAATGTATACGGTATACCACAGAGTCACAACGTGCATTCATGCACAAAGAAAAATGAGCAGTGAGAGGCGTGATATAGAAAGAATTTCCAATTAAACTTCATTCAGGAAAAAAAAACGAAAACCTGCTCCTTTTCATTTAGGAGAACGAAACAAAATTCCAGGTCATTATCAATGTGCATTTTGCGCGGCAGTTGCCCATTTGACTAGGGTTAGGGGTTCATACAAACGTCATTGTGTTTGGCATTGATTATTTTTGCAAGTTTACTCGTATATACCTGAAAACTATAATATGGATACTGTCCAATCAAACAAATAGCGCACACCTCCCTTCATGACAAGCATCCAGAGAAAATAGTTAATCGACGAAAAGGTGTCCGCGGCGAATATGGGTCACGTACTCTGTATGTCTCAATATTAGCTTCAATTATCCATTTGAATATGTTTGTACATGTATATGATATTTTATAACACATAACAATATACTGCATGTGTTATTTTGTACTGAAATTATACCATTTCTGGATAGTGTTTTGAAATATTAGTCACCCTTTCATTCGATCATTATACAATTAAACGTCAAAGAGCTGTTTGAACTTCTACTTCATAATAACTCGGCATCATGGAGTACATATTACTTTTGATATTATAATGTTTCATTTTAGATGGCCGACAGTATTAAACAATCAGTTTATGGCCTGGAGCGACAATATTCTGAAGATTTTAGTTTAGAATCATTGCCATCCACTCCATCTATATCCGAAATTGTTTTAAGAATCATCGCTAAGACTATAATGTACAAAGGTCACTGTTACTTGGGACTACATGAGGAGACCGGGAGGATATACAGACCTATTCTAAGCACACAGCCGGGAACCTGTTGTTGGCCTTCAAGCAGAAATTTCAGTTTAAAAAAATCATACCGGTTTCATGTAATTTTCAATCCCGATCACCCTGTTGAGGACTTCTTCACTCCGCTTCCTCATAGATATGAAGACATGGTTGTTGCTTCATTTGTGACTGAGGAGGATAACGGATCATTTGATACTCAACGTCTTACGAAAACAGCAAAGCGTGATGTCAACGAAATATTTCCCGGAATTCAGGAAACAAGATACATAAATAAAAATGCTGACGCACGTTCAACGGGAATATTGAAATGTAGGTCTGAAAATGTTTCCATATATTTTAATGAATGGGAAAAGAGAAGATGCAGCATACAGATGGATTCCGGAAGTTACGAATTTCCCGTGACAGGGATTGACATGGAGAACATTCCGGACGAAAGCAATGATATTATTGTAGTCCTTGGGCTGGCTCGCCCCTACAACAAAGATGGCGAATACGTTCCTGCTCGATGTTACATTTTGGTCGTTGGTTTATTTATTCTGTAATAACACAATTGAGGTGTTCAAATCTTATGACATCGTATCAAAAGAATTGCTATATAGGCAAGAGTTTATATGGCAATAAATATTTGAATTGAATTATATTAATTATTAACTTTAAACTTAAAGTAACGCAAGAGGATGTTTTCACGAATTTATATTAATCGAGAAATAAGTGAAAACAAAATCTTCGGAAAATATGCAGTAGTATCTGTGAATTTAAGAAAAAACCCAAAAACTAGTAAACAATCAGTACTTCTCATATAACACCAGAGCTGTTCAAGGTCATAAATTCATTTATTTTAAAATTTACTCTTTGACCTGCTTTTTTATTATTACGATTGCTTTGTAATTTCTTTGCAAATGTTTCAGATTTAAATTGTTTGTTTTTGTATTTAATTTGAAAAAAGGAGATGGGGTTCTCCAGTTTATCTTGCTCGAAGAAAACTTAAATTACAACATTTTTCATTTTGTTTAACTTACTATGAATGTGTTTATACGACATAACTTAATATGCATTAAATCTACAATATAGTCGTCTAGTTTTTAGTCGGACTTTAATTTCACCGTTTCATATCTTCAACAGCATAACTTGTTTTAAACAGCTGGTTATTTCATTGAGACAACATCGAAGAAAAATGACGATTTCAGTGAATGTAGTTTCCTACTTACTAGTATAGCATACAACTAAAATAGATTAAAAATACTGTAATTGAAAGTCCTTTGAGCCTAAGAGTTAGGGTTAGTTTTGTATTTTCAAACACTGAAAATATAAAGATTCCATATCAAGAAAAAAAATATTTAACGTTTTCAATTTAAACTATAATATCCCAACTTCCTAATGCAAGTTGACCTTATATGTATTAGTACTATAGTTAACTTTGGGAACATTGCATAATAAGTTGCAGATGTTTTAATGTGGATTGACCTTAGATGTATTTTGCTGTCTTTTAATGTCCCCGTTGATCAAAAAGATCATCTGCAGCCGGTTGTACGAACGTGACATTAGCCTAATGGGTCATTAAGTCCTCATTAAGCTTTATGATGCATTAGGCTAATGAAGAATTAATGACTCATTAGACTAATGACTAAGTAAATCGAGATTCGGACGCACGAAGTATATACATTGTTATTACCGTTCAAAACGGTTCACCATTGTATCCATTATTGAAGGCCTTGGTGGGTTTACAGAATAGAGAATAAAAGATTTATTAAAAGAAATATTAAGAACAGATGATCACGGGGTTCTAAAATTAAAGAAAAGAGAATGGCGGAGAAAAAACATTGTTGAAGGCCGTACGGTGACCTATAGTTGTTAATTTCTGTGTCATTTGGTCTCTTGATAAGAGTTGTCTCATTGGCAATCATACCATATCTTCTTTTTTATAGAGTAAATAGAAAAATTCTAAATATTAAAAGAAATAATAATAAACCCCCCCATTATCGACGACTGGATGTTGTTGTAAGAATTAGAATATATGGTAGATGCAAATGGGAAAACTATCAAAATGAGACAAAAGAACAATTGAGGATGTTAACACTTATATGAAGCAAACGGTCTTCATTAATGAGCATGTCATATCGTATAGCTAGTGATGTTTTCTTTATAGTTTTATTGTTCTGTTGAATTGTTGCCCCATTAACGTATAATCATAACGAAATAACCTTTTAATCTATATGTATATTTATAAAAATGGAAAGGGTTGAGATCACAAAAAACTTGTAGTTAGTGCCTCATTTGTTGTGCCTTTCCAAAGTTTGGTCCCTGCTTGTGTTTATTTTGTTAACGAAAAGACAGGCAAAAGACACCAAATGGACATTCAACTCCTGGACCAGTCGAAAACAAACTGACAATGACATGGCCAAAAAAAGAAAACACGACAAACAACGGTACAAAAAACACAAGAAAGAAAACTAAACACTGAGCAACACAAACCCCACCGAAAACTCAAAATCTCGGTATGAATTTAGGTGCTCCGGGAGGTAAAGCAAATTGTGCTCCACATGTGGCACCCGTCGTGTTGCTCATGTTTCTTTCTTTGAGAATAGACAAAAAAAAAATAAAATAAAAAATGTATATATACCATGTATACATGGTTTCTGTGTTCTTTTATTGAAGAAATGTCCGATTTCTTTGTTGTTTTAAATTGTGTGTGTGTGTGTGTGTGTAATTAAGTGCCACTGTTTATGCTTCTTTATGCAATGTTCATGTATTTATATTAACTTGTGCTATCTTGAAATTACTACGTCTTTGTCAAATTCAACGGGGTTATGTTTCTTATGTATAGAAATCATAAACTAAAAAGCAAAACCCACCAGCTCTGCTACAGCCATAAAAAAACCAATGTTAATTATTTGTAGAAAAAAATAGTCAGTAAAATAAATACATATACAAATCTTATAGAAAGATTTTAAATAACAATCAGTCTATCAGTAAAGTGAGTAGATAACCGGCACAAAATCAATATATCAGTGAAGTGAGGAGAAAAACTGCAGACAATCAATCAATCAATAAAGTGAGTAGATAACAAGCAGGTAATCAATCTATCAGTTAAGTGAGTAGATAATTTGTAGGCTATAAATACATCAGTAAAATGTATATATAACCTACAGGAAATCAGTCAATGAAGTGAGTAGATAACCGGCAGACAATCAATCTATCAGTACAGTGAATAGATAACTGGCAGACAAATCAATCTATCAGTAAAGTGAGTAGATAACCGGCAGACAAATCAATCTATCAGTGAAGTGAGTAGATAACCTGTAGACAATCAATCTATCAGTACAGTGAGTAGATAACCTATAGATAATCAATATATCAGTACAGTGAGTAGATAACCTGTAGACAATCAATCTATCAGTGAAGTCAGTAGATAGCCTGTAGACAATCAATCTATCAGTGAAGTCAGTAGATAGCCTGTAGACAAATCAATCTATCAGTGAAGTCAGTAGATAACCGGCATACAAATCAATCTATCAGTGAAGTGAGTAAATAACCTGTAGACAATCAATCTATCAGTACAGTGAGTAGATAACCTATAGACAATCAATATATCAGTACAGTGAGTAGATAACCTGTAGACAATCAATCTATCAGTGAAGTCAGTAGATAGCCTGTAGACAATCAATCTATCAGTGAAGTGAGTAGATAACCTGTAGACAATCAATCTATCAGTGAAGTGAGTAGATAACCTACAGACGTTCTTGTACATACGGAATCATCTTTACAAGGAATTTATAGAAAGTATCTATTGCCATCGTTATAAGAGAAGCTTCTCTGCAGTTATTTGACATTCAGGAGATTCATTTACGTATTTCCTATTACTACAAGAGAAAAAATATAGATTTAAGCAAATATAATATACTTACCTGTTTTTGATAGACACACTATTTCTCAAGTTCAAGTTTAAATTCTTGATTGACTGTATTATGTTATTAGGATAAGAGTTGCAGTTAACATAACTCTGGTCAAAGAAGATGATCACATGTTGGAAGTGTGTCAATCTAATATAAAGACCTAATATGACGGAACGCCAATTTACTTCAGTCTGAAGAACGCCCCGTTTAATCATAAAGTACCTAGTGGATATAATTGAAGATAGTTTGATTAAAAAGAGAAAATAAATACAAGATCACACCTTTTTTGAAGAACAAAACATCGTTCAGCTGTATATTAAAGAACATAGAAACCAGAACAGAACGCCATTGAGCACCCACGGATTCAACTTTATATAAAAAAATATGTGGAATTCAACCTCAAGGTATAAAATTGGAGTGTACAATATCAGTAGTAACTATGATGTTTACGATTTTGACACAAACGTGAAGGCAACAGTTCATGTGCATAATACAAGTGTGAATTATGAAAATATATCACGTGGCATGTCACATGACGAATACGCGTCCACTAGTATGTATTTGATACTGATGTTCTTGGGTATTATCATTATATCCGGTTGCAGTGTATTTGCTATGAAAATTTTAACAAACATTAGACTTCGGGCTTCAAAGTATTAAATGTTCATGTATAGCCAATGATTTTCTTTTTGTAACAAGCAACATTTAGCTTCGGACAATCTGTGTATACGTGTATTAAGTGTCTGTAAACTACTTTTTATTATTTTGGAAAAGTCTTAAAACTCACGTGCATAGCCAATTGCTCTTAAAGGGCTTACATGATGGGGGGGGGGGGGGGGGGGGGGGGTCACGAAATATTTAGTTTTGTACAATCTGTGTATACGTGTATTACTTGTTTTGAAAACCCAGGAATGCTCGACTCTGGTTCAAACAAGGTGTGAGTTCAATTTTGGAAAATATTTTATACTTTGCTAATTTTACACTTTAATACTGAAATGAGTATAAATTTGAAGAAAAATGTTTACATGGTAAGTTGTATATGCAATGTAAGTAAAGTTATTTGTACTTCTGGATTCGTTTTCCATATCATTCCATACAATAGCAATTTACCTGTTATGCATGTTGACATTTGTTAATTTGTAAACAAATGATTTAGTGTTTGCAAAATGTTCTCATTGTAAATAATTATGCATTTTGTTGAATGAACTCCAATGCAACTCTGTCGTTGGTTTATCCAATCGACGTGTATGCATGATATCTCCTCTCATTCATGATAGAACGATTAAACACAAAATTTACAATAATTAGATTTGTTCTAACAGTGCGACAGTAATAGTGCTGACAGCTTCTTTAATGAAACCAATGAATTCAGATTTTTCACTTGAACTCTCGTTATGTAGGGAAATATAGTTTTATTTTGATGTTTTTTCGAAAATCATTAAAATTAGCAAGACGGACTGAAACCGAAAGAGAGAAAGATAACTATGTATTCATTATAAAAACCGCACAATGTACACAGCGGAACCTTTTACAAAGATAATTGACATATAGCTTTAATTAATATTATTGTACATAGGGACTTATCTTTACAAGGGATTTATAGAAAATTTGGAATAGAAGCTTGTCTAGTTATTTGACATTCAGGAGAATCATTTAATTTATACTTTTCCTATTATTACCAGAGAAATAATATAGATGTAAATAGCAAATATTAGTTGTTATTGGCTTTGAACTAGCTGCCAGTAACTGCGAGTACTCTCAGATCTGTACTTAGTGTCTTTTTGTTGTGGGGATGTATAAATACCCTGCCACTTCCACTCTGTGTTTTTGTTACATGTATTTCTGTTTGTAGCCATCTGATGAGTTAAGCCTTTTTCAACTGATTTTTATAGTTTGTTCTTATGTTGTACTGTTAAACCACTCTCCTAGGTTAGGAGAGGGTTGGGCGCCCGCTAACAGGTTTAACACCGCCACATTCTATATGTGCCTGTCCCAAGTCAGGAGCCTGTGATTGAGTGGTTATTGCTTGTTTCTGTTGATCATACGTGTTTTTGTTTATTGTTTTGTACAGTTCTTATATTGTTCTGTTGCACCACTGTCCCAGGATTAGGGAGAGGGTTGGGCGCCCGCTAATATGTTTAACCCCGCCACATTTTGTATGTACCTATTTCAAATCA